CTGAATAGTGGAATTGACAATCACATTATAATGCCCCCTATTGATGAAAGGGCAAGCATGTTTGGTGTGAGAGGGATTCAACCCCACGACCTGCAAATTGTGAGACAATCACCATAGTCACTCTGAGAAGGGCAGTTTCTGACAAAGGAGCAGCTTCACTTAGAACTATAATCTAGATCAAGCTCTGACAGGCTTCTCAGAATGCCACATCAAAACATTACTCTTGTTAAAAAAAACAAGGGGGGAACCATGAAGGATTCATCTCAGATCATAGCTGATTATATAATATTCATGTAGAGCTCTGATCACAGTTAACCTGGACTAAGATTTTGAAAAAAATTACCTGAATGACAAAATATTCATTTTCCATGATATGAAAGGGTTATAGATTTAACAACTACATATCACACTGGTAATCTGCTAGAAATTTCCTAAGGTACATTCACTTGGTGTCCTGGGTATGATGTTAAGCTGCATCCAGCAGTGGTAGAGTCAACTGTAAGGGTAACAGTGAGACAAGTACTCTCTTGCTACTGTAGTCTGTGGGTTGCCCTTAGGCAAGGCATAGCACCCATTAGCCTCCATTACCAGCTTACAATTGAAGCCATTGTGAGTGCAGGATGGAGGATTATCTCATCTGGCAGATGCATGCTGCAATTGGGACAATGATAGAAAGGAAACCTGTTCAAATTAGTTAAGCACCGCAACCTGCAGCAAGAAAAGGGTAACCTACTGCAGTATTTTGTCAAGCATAATTTGTGGTCTTTCACAAATCAAGAGAAAACCACAATGGCATAAAAAGAGTCCCCTGATAGAAATGAGGATGACACCTCACCTGCTAAGGAAAGTCGTGTGCAACAGGTGACTCCTGACTATCAGCATGCTACTCTTTGCACCCAGAAGAAAGCAGTCAAAGTGGCAACATGGAATGTGAGGACTTTACACCAAATTGGAAAACTGTTAAATGTCAAGCATAAGATGAAGAAATTAAAGATCAATATTCTAGGTCTGTATGAAACACGTTGGAAAGACACTGGAACTATACTTTCAGAAGATATGAAGATCATTTATTCACAAAAGAGGAGTTTGTTTGATTTTGAACAAAGAAATCTCAAAGTGTTTGTATGGATTTTGGGCAATAGCTGATAGAGCAATGCTTGTGAAAATAGAGGCTAAACCTTTCAACATTATAATAATACAAGTATACGCATCAATAGTTGAAAATGAGGAAGAGGACACTGAACGTTTCTATGAGGACCTTGATAAAGTGAAAAAAATAATACAAACCTCAAGAGGTGGTCATATTAATGCAAAAGTTAGTTGTGAATGAGTGGATAATATTGTTGGACCACATGAACTTGTAGAGAAAAATGAAAGAGATCAGAAATGGATTGATTGGTGTGTTGCAAATGATCCAATCACTAGACACATGGTTTGAGCACCACCCAAGAAAAAGGTATACATGGAAAAGTCCTGGAGATAATGCTAGTAATCAAATTGATTATATCAACATCAACAGAAGATTCAGAAATGCAATACAATAATTGGAAACTTACTCAGGGGCTGACTATTGAAGTGATGATGTTCCTGTAGTATGCACCATGAAGGAAACTTAAGAAGTAAAAAGTGACGAAGAAGCTCGATTATACAATTTTAACGGAAAAAGATATGATTAAAGAAAGATATGTATTTGCAGTTAAAAACTGTTTTCAAGGACTTAAAGATGAAGGAAATATGTCAAAATGGGAAATGTTTAAAGAAGCACTAGTTAAGATAGCCAAGGTTATTCCATTAAAATTAAGGCAAAAGAAACAGAAATGGATGATGGAGGATATCCTTGAACTCATGGAAGATAGAAAGAAGATGGAAACCTGTAGTACAGAAGAGTATCAAAAATTGGAAAAAAGAAATTGAGCAAGGTGTAATGAAGAAAAGGGAAAATGGTTTAATGAACAATGTACAGAGATAGAAAAACAAAAAGCATAAAGATGTATCAATGTACAGGAATATCAAAAACATCACAGGTAAAGGAGGATGCACTACTAGTGGATGTATAAAAGCTAAGAATGGTGAGTTAATTATGGAATGAGAAAGAGTACTGAAAAAACAGACAGAGCATATTGAAGATTTATTTCATGACAGTCAGGAAGAAAAGCCATCTATTAAGAAGTTGATGGATGAATTGAGTATTCTGAAGTACAAACAGTTATCAACAGGATGAAAGAATTTGGCACAGAAAAGTTAACAGCTATCATCAATGAGATTTATAAAAGTGGTGAAATACCTGAGGGTCTCAGTAAATTTATCTTTACTATACTCCCCCAAAGACCTGGAGCTATCAAGTGTGAACACCATCAAACCAACGGTTTAATGAGCCATGTGACAAAAACCCTGGTAAAGGTGGTGATGGTGAGGGTTAGAAGCAGAATAAGACCAGAGATTGCAAAAGTTCAATGTGGTTTTATTGACGAACAAATATGGTACAAGAGTACATGGTACAAATGCTTTTGGAGAAGACAATAGAAATGGAGGACCTTTTCTTGTGTTTTATTGTCTATACAGTCAAATATATGAATTTAATGAAAATGTTGAAAAAACTGGACACTGATAGTAAAGATTTGAGAATTTTAAGCAGAGATGAAAGTGTCCCTTTCCTAAAAATCCTGAAAGTAATCGAAGCCAAGTAAGGGGGGGGGGGCGGCACCCAAAATCCTGCATTTCGATGCATTTTAGTACTTAAAATTCACTTAAACAAGTTACCCCATTTTTCTTACATCAGTGATTATCAAATACATGCGAGAAATATCAAATCTGATTCCCCTAGTTAATGGATAATTTTCAAGAGTGCATTCTTTGGAATTCATAATTTTCACTATTGGATGTCAAAACTTATATAAAGTAATGCTTTTATAACTTACACTCAGTACTGCATATGTGTTTTTGAAATGTGTATGATTCAACTGAGACTAAACAATTCACACTATTATGAAATTGAATAGATTCATTATTAAAACATTGCTAAAAATAAATCAGATATATATTTATTGTAAAATCAAACTCATTCGCCGAATGTAAACAAACTGTGCAATTGGATAAATGCTCATCTATGGCGTGGAACACCAAAATCCGATAAATAATTTTAAAAAATGTGTTTCTCCGGAAGAAAACTGGAGGTTTTCAGGATTTTTTAGAAATATCTGGATTTCCGGATATATCCAGAAGACTTTCATTATTATTTAAGAAACCTCTATTGGGACCAAACTGCAGCTATGAAGGTAGAAAATAAATTAAGTGATTTCATCCAAACTGAGAAAGGCATGAGGCAAGGCTGTGTCTTTTAACCTGACTTGTTTAATATGTACAGTAAGAAAATCCTGAGGGAGATTGAGGATTTACCAAGGCTGATCATTGGCGAACAGAATTTGAACAATTTGCATTATGCTGATGACACAGTTTTAATAGCTGATTCAGAAGAGAAGCTGCAAAAAATTTTAAGTAAAGTTGTTAATGAAAGCAAGAAGGGTTTAACCCTTTCTGCATGGACATCCTTTACTGCACATGTCACGAGGTTTGAATG